ACTGACAAATATCCATACAGGTTAGGCAATTTGCCATAAATGGGCTGTACTGCTATTGTGGTAGAAAAGCCTCTTACTTCCTCTGGCCCTACCCCTTCTTGCACAGAGAGTAAATGTATATGGCTATATTATTAAAACATGAGAGCACATTAGACTGAAGAAAAGATGCATACTGGAAGCATCATTTATTTATCTCTGAGTGTGTTTTAGCATCCCCTTGGCTGGTAAGTAGCAATAAAAATGTAACATATATGCCATTTTTCCATGTAAAGCAAGAAGATGTGTTGAGCAAAAGTAAAGTGAGGCAGTCTATAAAATAGAGGAACAAGGATTGTTTCAGCTAAATGCCTACTGCTTCAGTAAGAACATGCTTCTGTTGCCTCCACTTGCCTACCAATACTGAAGTTTTTTTCCAAAATGGCTGAATACTATCAGTTTGAATAGTCTTTGTTGGGAGTTTTACTAAAACAAGTAAAATAAAATTAAAATAAAATAAAAAAAAGAAGAGTTGACTCAGAAGTCTGCAAGTCTCATCAGAAGAAATGATTGCTTGCCGCTGCCCAGCTCCTGGATACAACCCTGAGTACAAGGCCAGCCCACAGGAGGAAACGTAAGGGCAACAACACACAACTAAAGGATACACAAACAAAATCTCCCCATCAGGATCAGCAGCTCCCCAGGAAATCAGCCCACATTACTCCAAGCCAGTCACTCAATTTCATACTGAAGGTGTGATTCAATCAGCAATGTGCCATTTCAGACTCCTGTCTGGCTAGCGCTCCCACATTACGGTCTAAGTGCTCCACAGCTATTCTGTTCTCTACCCCTTCACTGAGCTCCAGCAATCAGAGCAATAATCCTTGGGGATCTAGCAGGGAAAAAGGTAAGATATTTCATGTGACAGCAACAACAGAACCACAACAAGCCATGCGGCATTTGTGCCTGAGTCCCATTTTAAAGATGTTAGACACCAGCACAGATACGGCTGCCACTGCCTGCTCAAAGCAGTTTACAGTTTGAACTTGAATACTAAGCAAACCATACAAAGCCTGAACTATGAACCTGCGTTTTCATGACCTTCACCCACCTGTACATGTTAACAACACCGGAGAGGACTCTGCACCTCCTATTTCAATGAGATGTTGTCAATTAGCCAGTCAGTGGTGTTTTACATGAAGGGAAGTTTACTTTCTATTCTAGCCAGTATTATTTTTGTACATATTCATCTTAACTACCAGAGGACTTATGCATTCATTTTTGCTCCATATATGTCCAAGAAAAGATCATAGAATAGAATCATAGAATCATTTAGGTTGGAAAAAGACCCTTAAGATCAAGACCAACCATTAACGAGGATATAAAGTATGTTTCACAAGTCAGATCATCAATTAGAACTGAACCCTAACATCCATTATGCAAAATATCTGAAAATAGACTAACAAGTCAGTCAAGAGGAGAATATTCCTAGCCTGGATTTAAAAGCTCCACAGCATTTTAGACACCTAAATGAGCAATTCTACAGCTTATGTAAATGTTAATCAGATATCAGATATCAAATTCAAAGATTGTGCTCTGCATTTAAAGCATGTTATAGTTCAGAGTCTTGCACTCTTAGACAGTTACAACCTACACACTCCTTTACTAGACCAAAGCTAAGATCCAGGGCAGAAATAGTCAAAGAAAGACGGAAAGAATGCCCTGCATGTGAAGATCAGAAAAAAATATTAATATTATTCCATCTTATTTCTGCAGAAATCAGGCAGTCATGAGTTATTGCTTTCATGCTGCTCATAATGGGGGACAACTGCAGGTTTTCAAAACAGGGGCCTTGAGCCCATGTCACCCTTCAGGCTTCAGCTTTTCTGGGGAAAGAGGCAGAGAGAATTTAGTTTGTTCTCTCAGACCACATTCTAGTTTATAGGCAACCTATATACCAGCCATATCTAATTTAGCCAAGTTTTTCTCTGGGAACCTATAAGCACAGACAGTTACTGATACAGAAATAGCTTCTCCAAAGTAAAGCACACCAAAAGGTACCTAGTGCTTAGGGAAATGACTTAGCACAGCATCTACTCTGACATGCATTTCTCCATACAGCCACCTTCTACTATGACTCCAGCAGATATGATTTATTACCCCATCTCTGACTTCAAAGAAAAAAAACCTGCACTGTTGATAGCATTGGTCCTTCATGTGTGTCTGACCTGCAAGCACAGAAACTTTCTCTTGCACAGACAGCCTCTTCTAGCTCGACCAAGTCCCACTCTGTTCTAAAAGCTTCAAAATTTAATACTTATCATTGCCTAGAGGGAACCAGTCTAAGCAAACAACCCAGTCCTTGTTTGAACTCTGCAGAAGTTGGTCAACAGAGGATGACTTACCTGTTTTACCTTATCTGCTCAAATGTGCAACCACCTCCTTGACCTTCTTATACAGTCATGCAGCAAGTGATACACAAATGAATAAAGGACATCTATATGTAACATTCATAAAAGATAATACAGGCATTTTCCTAGGTCGCTACAATCGTAATTCAGCTTCCTCTGTGCAGCCGTCTATCTCTAGTGAGGCTGATTTACAGCTGGGAAAGCAGAACTTCCTGCTTCTACTTGTGTGATAAAATCTAATTCAAGTGATGCACTAGTACAGTTCCTCAGCAGTTAATTTCCTCAATGTTTAAAACTAAGCCAAAACATGCTTTCACGTTCAGACTGTTGTATTTGTTTCACTCTGCTTCTCTCTGGAAGAGCTGCACCTTTACGCATTGCTGGATTTTTGTTTAAAATACCACAAGAGGGTTAAACTAATTTAAGGTGAATAAATTTCTCAAGGTAGTTCTTGTACTTCTGCAGCCAGGGGAAATTTGATGGCAAAATAAAATTCATTTTGAATTTTGACCACGGGAAACAGAAGAATGTTAGCAGAAATTTAATTTGAAGAAAATGAATCTGTGCCTTTATACTTGAATTAATTGTCAGTTTAATATAGTCAGACTTGCAGGAAAAAAACAAGCTGTATGCACCATATCAGCTAAGCACAAGACATTTATACCTAAAATGTTAGTTTTCAAAAGTAAATAGGAGTTAAGGAAGCAACACAGGAAAAAGGCTAAGAATAAAACCCAACAATGGTTTCCAGGCTATATTAGTTCTATAAATGCCTGATCTTTATAGCCTAAGCTTCCCTCTTCCTCATCCCAGATATTGATGAACAGGAGGAAAACAGAGAAACAAAGCACCACAGCTCCTCCTTAATGTGTCACTTCTGAATATATTAAAGACAGTCTCTTTGGAAAGCCACCTACCCTGCATGGAGGCAGAAGAAAAAGAGAGTGTCAGGACTCTTTGTTGATGCAAGCGCCACACCCCTCATTGCAAGAGGTGCAGCTTTCAGCCCTACAGATACCAGTGGCAGCAGACAGCTCTTCTCTCTGCTGGCTGGCTGTTTGCTCACATCTTTTCCATGGCTTTTATGGGGGAACTTTCCACTTTGCTTGCTGTCTTCCCTGCTCATCCACATCTCCCCTTTCCCCCTTTATTTGCTTCCCTTAACTTGTCCCTCTTATACATCCACCACACAGTTCTTGGGATACACCTTTATATGTGGAGTGCCCAAGACTTATCCAGTAATGCTCAACCACATCTCCCCTTTCCCCCTTTATTTGCTTCCCTTAACTTGTCCCTCTTATACATCCACCACACAGTTCTTGGGATACACCTTTATATGTGGAGTGCCCAAGACTTATCCAGTACTGCTCAACCACTTGAATAGATGTTGCATCTGTCTGAGAATGCCCAGGGCACTATATAAGGCATAGTCTTCCTACACAGTGCCCCTGTCACATCAAACAGGACTGTCCAAGCCTACTGAAACATTTGAATGTCTTTTTAAATATCTGAATGTGCTCCAAGCTCTATCCAAGCCACAGGAGCACAGTTATTACAAAGACAGTATCATTAGCAGCACTGCTTAGAACACAGTTTCCTCGCAAATTTCAGAATCAATTTAATTAAATCTTATCTGCATTTGTCCACTGCTGCTATGATAAATAAAGGCACTGATGTGAGAACAACTGAAAAATGGAGAAATTAAAAAATAACACTCCAAACAAGCTGTAGTATTTCTTCTTTTCCTTGCCTGCTCCTTCCCTGGCATAGCAATGGTATGATCCCTCTTTAAGCAGGAATATATACCTCATGAACTCGGCTGTAAAAACATACTTATTTTGTTTACGGAAGTGTATTTCAGAACTAAGCCTTCAATACCCACCCAAAGTGTTTGTTGCAAAGTTTTTTTCAAGTCCATCTTCAGTTAATTCTCTGTTATTCACCATACATCCTGCATTGTTGACCTGTAAAACAACTCCTGTAAACAAAAATAATCTACACAAATATCTACAAACAAAACCACACATACAAGCAGTCCATGTTAGTTTGCTGTTTTCTGACACTGCAACATATAGCTACAAACTGTTTCAAACCATGCTATTCCAAGTCACACCACTCTGTCGCTGATCATAAAGGTATTTCACAAAAGAAAGGATCTTCAGAGAAATGGCTCACCACATGTGTTACACTAAGAGCTAACAGTCCTCTTAGTGCCTTACTCCATGTTTTTAAACTCTTTTCTCACAGAAAGTAATATGCAAGTTGTAGAGCAGATATTAGAACATAAATATGCAGTGTAGTTTGTTAGTCTCATCTAAGAGACCACACAGACCCCACATCATCCACGCTATGTGGTGACGTATTCTCCATTAGGGGAAAATTCACTATGGGAAGCTGTGCAACATGTGGTCGAACAGCCTACAGGAACTCCCACCCTCAGCAAATTAAAAGAATTAGCTCCAAACTTGGCAGATTAGCCAGGTCAGCAGGTTGCTGCATCCTAGTTAGCTCTGAGAAGAGCAGAGCTAACCAGCAGAAGTGCTTCATATTGACTTTGTGCCCTGGTTGTAGGGACCGCAGCTTTTCTCTCTGCCAGGCAATCCTGCAGAGATACCCCACCTGACTCGCACATTGCTAAAATAGCGCTGCACCACACAGCAGGGATGCACTGTAAGGTAAAACCTCATGAACAGTCAGAAGCTTGCAAGCTGTGTGCAGCTAGCATATTCTCAGACACGCTTCTTTCTCTGCCTCACCCTCCAGAGGAAGCTTGAGCTTTTCTTTCCCACCTCAAAAAGAGATCTGCCCCTACATACCTTCCTGCTTGTTGACTGCTACTGCTCAAAAGCTATTTTCCCATTTCTATCAGGATTTTCTCATCCAGTAAGCACCAAAACAACTGCTCCAGGTGCCTCAGTTTTAGTACAGTCCCCAGAGCAAATTTTCACTGCTAAATAAGGGGAA